CTGCTTGCATTTTAGACATATGTTAGTCTTAATTTTATTGCAATTTCTCATTGCATGAAAATCATTACACTTCCTGTTTAATTTATCACCTGAGTATTTCATGGGAAGTAATATAAATACATGTGTTTGTGTTATGACTCTGAGGGCTTTGCAGCTGTCTAGGAGACAAATCCAAATTAAAATAACTAGATGTTTATAAACTAATGTTTGCCCATTACTGAGAAGTATTCCATTAAATCACTCTAAGCAAGGGCTTTTATTTTCTAAGCTATAATATAACTTTAGCCTCTATTTAAATGTATAATATTTTAATCAGCTTGCTCAAGCACAGAGACTGCAATGGAACAGATTTTCACAGTGTCCTTTTTATAGTATCCCAATCTTGTGATTACATCAGAATCAGGTTTAGCAGATTAAAATATGATCGGGGTGGCGTTTATGGCAGGATGTAAAGATGTGGCTTGGACATAATTGCACAAGGTGTTAACCTCATCGCAGCTTTCCTATCTTTTGCACTGATGCTCAAGCTAAGTTGTCCATATGACTGAGGGAAGAATATAGCTGAGGTAAGGTCAAACTTTACACAAAGGTCCTGGGACTAGGCTGACTTTTACATGTCCGGACCTGCTTGGGTTAGCTATTTTCACTTTCTTGTTTTAAGCTTGGACCCACCTGACCCAGGTGCTTTCTGGCCTCTTGAACGCTCTGCCACCCCTGGGTGCACAATGGGACTGGGGTGGCTCTATCCCAGACTGCATTTCTAGGTAGCCCAGGCAGTGGTTCTTTCTGGCTGCTGTCACCACTGGGCCTAGGCCCTTGGTAATAGCGGGGACCTGCACACACAGCCCCAACCCTGGTCCACTCCAACCCTACTCTGGAGTGTGTGCCCACTCTGAACAGTGGCAGCAGTAGCTGGGCAGCCCAGCACAGCCTGGCATACCAAGAAGGGCCTGGCAGTGGCAAAGAGGAAGCAATCACTTTTCCCCTGTGCCTAGCAGCAGCTTCTGCCCAGCCACTGCTACTGCTGTCACTGCTGTGTGGGCAGGCAGCCCAGAGCAGGTGTGGGGCAGGCCGGAGTCAGGGCTGTGGGTGCAGGTTCTGGTTGGTCTGGAGCTGGTCCACTCTGCCTGGGCAAGTCTGGAGTGGGTGCAGGATGGGCCAGGGTTGGAGCTGGGGCTGTGCACTCAGCTGCTGCTGCCAGGGTTTGAATTACACTTTGACTCTTGGCGGGGGTCAGAGGTGGTGATGGCAGCAGCAGCAGTGGTAGCAGTGGCAGAGAGAAGCTGGAGGGCAACCCGGGCACAGGCTCCAGGTGGCTGCAGCAAAAAGCACCCAGTAGCGACGAGGAGCTGCTTTTCCCCTGCACGAAAGAGCAGTTTCTGCCCAGCTGCTGGGGGGGCTCTCATCTCTTATAGGGGAGCTCTCATCTCTTATAGGGAGGGGCTCAGCCCCCGCAAGCCCTACCAGTAATTTGAACCCTGGTTGCTGGGAGCTTGTGGCAGTGGTGGGGAGCAGCCACAGGGTGTGTGGGCTCTGGGCTGTTGCAGGGGGGTGGTGCTGACCAGCTTGCGACAGCTCCTCAGAACTGCTTATGTGGCCAGTGGAAGCCAAATAATTGCCCACCTGTGTTACAGTGATGTTGTAGATTTTTTCAGATGATATCTTTAACAGGACCAACTGGATGGTTGGGGTAAAATTAGACAAACTTTCAAAGGCAAGACTTTCTTCATCAGGTCAGGATGGTGAGAGGAGCTTTTGTATACATAAAATATCTTAATACAGCTGCATCTTTTCGTTTGCTGCTGCAGCAGCTCAGTTTTAGAAAAAGACTGATTCCCCCAAAATTAGTGGCACAGGGAAATAGAGTAGGGTGATCCTTATGGGGAAAAATATGGCAAACCTTGTATCAGGATCAAGTAGATACTATAATATAAATTATCATTTTTTGAGTGTGAGCAAAATAAATGCAAATAATGGTAAAGCTGACCAAACAAAACAGACTTTTTTCAGTGTGTATCAGATTTTGAAGGCACTTTGTTAATACTTTGGATGAGAATGTATGTGTGAATAATAAAAGTTAAAATTTTACTACAGACTTATATTACAACAGCACCTTGAGGCTGGGTCTCAGCTAAACATGTTTGTTAAGGTAGATCCAGCCCAATCCACTTTCAAAGAAACACATACATGTACAGCCACTGTGGAGGGACGGACCAGGGCCCCCTGCAGCTTAAGGGCTGCTTGGCCCACCGGCAGCTCACTCCCCGACTGCAGGAAAGGCGGGCAGACTCCACAGAAAAAAAACACAAAAGATCCGGCCTCTTCCCGCTTCTGCCTTTAGTAGGTGCCTGCTGAAGGCAGCAGCAGTGAGGAACCTGATCCTTTTTTACTGTGGAGCCTGTGGCCTATATCTGAAATGCAACCAAGGTAGTAGTGGGTGCTTGGTTATTCAAATCCATTTACAAGACTTTAAAACATTGTTTACCTTAGGAACAGAAACCATAAAGTCACTGCTTTAAAAATATTTTATTTTATTGCTGGTGGTTATGTCTTTAGGGATGAATATAATACATACACAGCGGGCAAGATAAAATCAGGGTTACAATTACATTTGAGGCTGATATTTAGAAGTGTAGTGTCCTTGGTTTTCAACATTTTTAGCACTAATAGTTTTATTTTTTACTCTACCCTTTTCCCTTCCCCAAAACAATAAATATTAGCCCTTAACCAAAAAGTTAAGTCACAATTTTATTATTTCAGAAGTTCATGCCCTAAATAAAATTACCCATAGCCATAACTGAAACTAATTTCAAAGGAAAAAGCAGAAATACACCTTCTGGCAGTTCTTTCATTCCTTGCCCCACCTTTCTCCCCCCGCAATCTGACCCTCCTTGAAACTGCTAACATAGCATCAAACCTGCTGCAATTCATCCTATTTTGCACATTTCTCTCAAAATAAAGTTTACTTTAGCTTGTCAGGCACCTAACTACCCAAAACTTCCAGTGGCCTCCCAACACTTTACTATGCGGTGAGTACTCTTGCAGTCAGCCATAAGCATGGGCAAACCAGCTGTGAGGGAAAGAACCAGGTCAGCCAGAGGCACAAGTTAAGCTGCAGGGTCCACGCTCTTAGCCGGCTGCATAAAGAAACATGATTAAACACAGGTATGTGCTGCACAACCATGAATAAAAGCATTAAACCCTATAGAGATCAGAGGCACAACATGCATAACTTCTGCCAGACTGGCTTCCCACAGCACCGGCACCATGGCTTACTTCTCATGCTGCCTTAAATCCAGTGCTGGCAGCAAAGTGAATTCAATCTGCCATTTGGGGTCCTGAAGCACAATAGAAAGGAAGTGGCCAAGACAACACAACACAGGACCGGGACTTAGGAGACCTGGTTCTGTCCCTGGCTCTGTCATTATACTACCAGTTGACCTGGAGTAAGTCACATCTGCAAAACAAGGTTGTTCAAGTGCTTTGAGACTTATCAATTAGGCCTGTGCAAAGTGGCTAGCATTTGCTTTGGATTCAGATTTGGCTGATTCAGGGTGTCACAACCCAAAGGTGTGATTTTGTTGTGTGCGCGCTTTGGCACCACTGAATTATTTTCCCGCCTATTTGTAGCTTTCTTTGCAGTGTGCATTTCTTCTTTGCAGCACAGAAATGCACTTTGCAAAGAGTTCCCCCCATTTGTATTATAATTCGAGCCCCATTATTGGCTTGCGTGAAATTATTCACACGTGGCGGCTAGCGATTGGCTTGCTAGCCGTATAAAAGGCTTGAGTGGTTTCCGCCCAAGTTGGAGGACTCCACGAACACCAGGAGGAGGAGACTTCACGTCTCGTGAAGATCTCTAAGCGCTGCGGAGCCTATTGGACCCAGCGTGAATATCAAGAAGGCAACAGGGGTCTGATCAGCCTCTC